CACACACAATAAGAGTAAGTGAATGTATGCACACACACATACCACACACAATAACAGTAAGTGAATGTATGCACACACACATACCACACAAAATAACAGTAAGTGAATGTATGCACACACACATCACACACAATAAGAGTAAGTGAATGTATGCACACACACATACCACACACAATAACAGTAAGTGAATGTATGCACACACATACCACACAAAATAACAGTAAGTGAATGTATGCACACACACATCACACACAATAAGAGTAAGTGAATGTATGCACACACACATACCACACACAATAACAGTAAGTGAATGTATGCACACACACACACACCACACACCGTAACAGTAAGTGAATGTATGCGCACACACACACCACACACTGTAACAGTAAGTGAATGTATGCACACACACACACACACATCACACACCGTAACAGTAAGTGAATGTATGCACACACACACACCACACACAATAAGAGTAAGTGAATGTATGCGCACACACACACCACACACCGTAACAGTAAGTGAATGTATGCACACACTACACCACACACCGTAACAGTAAGTGAATGTATGCACACACACACCACACACAATAACAGTAAGTGAATGTATGCACACACACACACCACACACCGTAACAGTAAGTGAATGTATGCACACACACACACACACCATACATAGTAACAGTAAGTGAATGTATGCACACACACACACACCACACACAATAAGAGTAAGTGAATGTATGCGCACACACACACCATACATAGTAACAGTAAGTGAATGTATGCACACACACACACCATACATAGTAACAGTAAGTGAATGTATGCACACACACACACTACACCACACACTGTAACAGTAAGTGGTGAATAAAAATTTGTTTACTTCAGCAGGAAAATTTACCACATGGCTGGGTGCTGTCAAATTCAGATGAAGGAAAACAGGAAACCTCTTGAGGCCTGGTGCAGTCCTGTAGTCCCGTACACACAGAAGCGTAGCAGGCTTTTCCTTTGGGCCACCAACCAGCACCCAAATCATGCCATGGAGACTTCTTATTAGTTACGAATGCTCATCCTTACCTTATGATTGTCCCACTAGCTTTTATAATTCATTTCAACCTGTTTCTCTTCATCTATGCTTTGCCCCAGGGCTGGATTTTTCTCCCTCCCTCCCTGCCTCCCTGCCTCCCTGCCTCCCTCCCTCCCTCCCTCCCTCCCTCCCTTCCTTCCTTCCTTCCTTCCTTCCTTCCTTCCTTCCTGTACATCTTACTTTCCTTTGTCTCCATGTCTGTCTGTCTGGTGGCTCCTGGCTTCCGGTCCTGGGTATGTCCTTTTTTTTCTCCCTCGTTCTCTCTTCTTCTCTTCCCTTTCTTGAGCCCAGAATACTACCCCTCCTACTTATTCTCTCTGCCTGCCAGCCCCGCCTATTCCTCTTCTGCCTAGCTATTGGCAGTTCAGCTTTTTATTAGACCAATCAGGTGCCTTAGGCAGGCAAGAGAAACAAATGCAACACACCTTTACAGAATTAAACAAATGCAGCATAGACAAATGCGACACATCTTTCTATGGTTAAAGTAATATTCCAGAACACAGAACAGAATGGATCCTAGTGCTGAGGTGTCACAGTTAGCTTTTGCCAACTTGACACAAACCTGGGAACATCTGTGAAGAGGGAGCTTCATTGAAGAACGGCCACCTTCCCCCCTCAGGCTTGCCTGTGGGCACGTCTCTGTGGGTGTGGTAACTGTTAACTGATGAAGGTCCAGCCCACTGTGACTATATAAGAAAGGGAGTTGCCAGGCGGTGGTGGTGCACGCCTCGAATCCCAGCACTCGGGAGGCAGAGGCAGGCTGATCTCTGAGTTCGAGGTCAGCCTGGTCTACAGAGTGAGTTCCAGGACAGTCATAGTTACAAAGAGAAACCCTGTATTGTCAAACAAACAAACAAACAAACAAACAAACAAACAAACACAGTGGGGCAAGCTAGCTAACAGCATCCCTCCGTGGTCTTCAGTTTCTGCTCCACACTCCTGCCTTGGCTGTGTCCACGATGGACTGGCACCTGTAAGCCAAATAAATGCTTTTCTCTCCAAGTCGGTCTCGGTCAGCGTTTATCACAGCAGCAGAAGGCAAACTAGGGCAATAGGGGTGATGTGAAAAAGGATCGTGAGTTCAGGAGCCCACGGTGTGAGCGTGGCTTTCTCAGAGCAACCAGATTCTTCCATGACCCTCAGCCCCAAATCACCAACAATCGAAAAACGCTAGTTAAGTGTGACTATGCGAAAACACGAATCATCAGTCACGCCATCTAAAGACAGAAATCTAAGCTACGAAACAGCAAATGGTTGGTAGGTTTATAGAAGTCACTCACCTCTGTAAGAGTTGTTTAGTTTTTTTATTATCTTTATATTTTTCATTATTTTATTTCTAATTGTCTGCATTATGTGGGTATATACACGTGAGTGCAGGCTAGTGGAGGGCAGAAGGGGGCAGCAGATCCCAGGAGCAGGAAGGAGCAGGCCCCATGACAAATCAGCTTTGTGCTTTGAAATCCTTGGCTTGTCATTGAAGTCCCTCAGGAACTGGCTGGTGCCATCCTGGGGCAGTCAAGGGTGGAAGACCCTGCCACCTAGTGGCCATATTCGGTATTACAGTTTATCTCTCCATAAGCTCTTTCCAGTAGACAGTCAGATGAAGTGTGTGTACAGGTTATCTGAAAATTGTTTACATTTTAATATTTCATCTGTCTTATTTAATATCTCCACTGAGCCATCACTTTGGATGAAGGAGAAGATGTGCTCAGAGCCTCTTTAGAGAAAAAACGGATTTTGACTTGTGTGCATGTGTCTACTGTGGAAGCCCGGAGGGTGTTGAGTGTCCTGGAGCTGTTACAGGTGGTGCGAGCTGCCCAGCGTGGGCACTGGGCACTGAACTCAGGTTTTCTTGAACAGTAGCAAGCATTCTTATTCGCTCAAACACCTCTTCAGCCCAGAGCTTCTGTTTTATAAGCAGGAGTTTCCCTTTCCCTTTCTTTTCTTTTTGGACCAAGCATCTTGGTGTGCGGTACAGGCTGGCATTGAACTCACAGAAATTCTCCTGCCTCAGCCTCTCAAGTGCTGGGATTACAGGTGTGCACCATCAAACCCAGTTGGCAATTTCCTCCATTCTAGCCAGCATCACTAGCGAGGACCGGTTGAGGATCGTGTGCTGTTGATTTCCAGCCTAAGGACTGGTGTCGGGCTTGCCCTACATCCATCACAAAGCCGTCTGTCACTCACGGAAGGTAACAGCAGGGGAAACTGGGAGACAGCTGTGATGAGTACAAGATGGAAGGCCAAGTTCTAATTCTATCCTTCATTTTATTACAGCCCACGTGTGCTCTGGAGGGATTGATATGGAGCAAGTTTTATTTTTACGACGTTTAGAGAGTGGCCTTCCAAAGTCCCATTTTAAAGCTCTGCTGTGCCGTGTCTCCTGGGTCATGGCATCTTGGAGGACACAGACCTGTTGTCTTCCCCCACTGCCTCTGGCCTGAGCACACCTGTAGCTTAAACGCTACCACACGTACTGTCTTTCAATGGCCTGTACCTCTTGGAGCTGATATTTGTGGCCACCTGAGGCACACACCGCTCTTGGTTCATTTTTACATCCATCCATCCATCACTAAGGGGAAGTCACTGGCCCAAGTTGTAGAAAAATGTAAGAAATTCTCTCAGCGGTCATGACACAAACTCAACCTGGGGTCACCAAACAGGTTTATGTCTCACTCTTAATAGACCACTCTTCCGTTTTACAGCGTGAGCGCCAATGATGTCATTGGCCTTGGATTTTGGGTGCTGAAGATCGAACTGGGGACCTCACACATGCTGAAATAGTGCTCTCCCACCAAGTCGCATCCCCTGCACCTCATTTGACTCAACTTCATCCTGTTATTCATGTCACAGGAAACGGCCACCACAGGAATGTCAGGACAGGGTCCTTACCCTGCCATTCCACATCTGCTCAAGTATCCTGACTTTGAAGACTCTGGAGGCCAAGGGCCAGGCAGCTCGCAAGGGGTGGATACATACAGGCTGCACTCTCATCCCAAAGAGCAGAACTCACAAACCCTGGAGATGCTGCCTTAGTAATTCCCAAAGCAGATGGATGAATTATCTAAGCAAGAAGGGGCTGAGGTGAGCAGGCTTTATAAGTTGAAGCTAACTGGGCAAAAGGAGGCTGTATCCTGCGCTGAATATTTTCAGTAGATAACGTGTTTTCACCCATTACACAACAATCAAAAGGACATGTGACCCTAACAACTTATTTCTAGTTTCAAATTTCTAAGCAATATCCAGTGTGCGCAGTGTCCTAGTATTCCTGAGGCAGGCATTCTTAGGACCCTGACTTAAGGGCTTTCGAAATTGCAGTCATGCGTCTGGTTCTTCTGCAATGCAGGGGAGCAGACACTTGTCTCTGGGATCGGGAGAGTGGGACTAAAGGCTTAGGAAATGGTGGCATGAATGACTCTGGGGCTCCTCCGATTGAGAAATAAGATGCTGGAAATGATTTCCTAAGTTGAGGACAACAAAAACTCCACCTAAACTCTGCCATCCTCCAGCCTGTCGGTGAAGCTTACTGACACAGCAGGGTGAACATGCCTGCTCTTCTCCAGCACCCGGGAGCACTTCTCTGGGTCCTCACTTTATCAGTTGAATAACACGGACGCCAGAGACAGGAGTTTGCTCCCTTCTCATTGGCTCAGGCATACTTTCTCTTCAAATTAAAGACATCTGCACTCGTCGTCTCCTTTTGGCCACACAGGTCCGGGGTCCTCTTTGAATGTCATGGGGTGGTTGCCTGGTTACCAGATTCTATGACTGCAGGTTTTGTCTTACATCTCTCAATTCTAAATGGGGTTTGCAGTATTAGGCATCCGTTTGCCTGAGGGGCTGGAGAACGAGGCCTTTGAAAAGTCAGTACTAGGTCTGACTCACTCAGGAAAAACTGGGAGAACAACCTTGAAAATTTCTTTATTTATAGACATTTCAGAACCATTTAAATCAACAGACAATGGATTTCTTTAGACGTAACATACTGTGTTTATCTTGAGGTACACATTGGGCCCACTAGATAATGATCCGGATAGCAACTAACTGCTGATATGTGGTTAGCAGCCCACTGTTTCCCCAGCCAAGAAAACTGTACAGACACTTCCAAAAGACTTAGAAAATACAATTTCCATTTAGGTGAAGGAACCCCCCCCCAGGTTCTTGAGTTTCAGTTTTGTCTGAGTCTTAGCTGAAACAATATTCCAAATGGAACATAATATGAAGACAGAAGGGCCGGTTTATGGCTAGGGGATTATCTAGACCTCTCCTACAGGAGACTGGAAACCAGGGGACCTCATCACTGCTAAGCTCTGTTACAAAACACATAGCTTCCAAGCTGGACAGAGGAGCACAACTCCAGACGAGGTTTGCACCTAGCTTGAAACACATGTTTACTCATTTCTCATTATCACAATGAAGCAAATTGCAAAACAAATCTTGAAAACTCAAAAAAGTGACAACATGATATGGCCTCAAGAATCCTATATTACAAACCCACAGTATAATAAAAATCCCGTTTCCCCCATTTTCCCTCTGGACTTGATTCTTAGCAGCTTCAGATTTCCAGAGACAGCAATGGAAATTGATGTGATGGACATGTTTCCGAAAGCCTCACGTGTCCAACAGATTTAAGTTTTTGGTAGACTGCAACTCAGACTGGCTGGGTTCTTTGGAGAAATACTGTTTCCCAGTTTGCTACTCAGGGTATCCACCTCTGGATGCTAGGCACGAGGAAAGCACTTGGAAAATGAAGGGCTCTCCATCCATCCACGCCCACCCGCTGAACTTCTCAAGGAGGCACATGGAGGCTATGCAGGCGGCTCGTGACTGCAGGTTGCTTATGTATGTATCTGATCAGCTGGAATGGACTGTCACATTTCCCATAAGGTTGTGGCATTTCTGCAAGATAAGAATAAACACTGCAATTTAGCTGAATGGGCAGTTTGGTACAACTTCATAAATTTGGATGGTATGTGTGGGCTGGGAGAGAGTGTACACGGACATTTCACAGTTCATAAACTTGAGCAGTTCAACTTAAAGACAGAGAGTGCAGGCGGTTAGGAGATTGTGGACAGAATTGGTGGGTGAATGCTTGAGTTTTCTCTCTGAATTGACTTCGTATTTTACATTTCAGCTGCTTGGCTTGGTTTATTGCTGATGCTCTTTCCTGACGGGGGGGGTGGGCAGGAAGATTTTAGGCGTGAGTTTATGGATCCCCCAAAGATCCTGTGTAGACAGCATTTCTCCACAAGTCCCACAGCCACTCACTGGGCTGTAGAGGGTCTGTCACAAAAGGAGGTATTGTTTTGACCTGACTGGTTGGAAGAGGCTCCACTGTGGAAGGCGAGGGCTGTTGCTACCTTCTGCTCTTTCTTTCTGCTGGTTTACAAATTCCTCCTCTAGCCAGCATCCTCCACAGACAGGTGCTCAGCTCAGAAGTGGCAATTATACTTATTTGTGGCTTTCAGAAATGCCAGTACTGATTATCATTAAAAATTCCAAGTCAGTATAAGAAAACAGGAGACACTGAAAGACAGATGCATTTTCCCTTGAACGCATTCCAAGTGTTAGCATCTTGGGGTGTTTACTGCATGTTTAGGGGAGGCTGTCATTGCTTCCATCTGTGGACTCCTTAAAGATGGGATATTACTCTTCATAAATCCACTTTCCAGGAGAATTCCAGAGTCTCTCATGCACACACACAGTGCTAGCAACTGTGACTAAGTGGACAGGGGTGAGGCCTGTCCTCAGCCTTGGGTCTGACACACAGAATATACACAGTGAATGTCCAATGAATGCATGACTCCGGGGCCTATCTTTGCTCTCAGGGAGGCCCCAGGATCCCAATCAATACTGACTTGGCCTGAGGATGCCAGGGCCAAAGCAAAGGAACTAAAAGTGGATGGACGATCTGATTTCGCTTAAGGTTCTTGCAGAAGATGGACGAAGGTGGTTGTCTTGTAGAGCAGCCTTCACGGTGAACGCAAGCCAATCCCGAGGCTTGCAGCTGAGTCTGAGGATCACGGTCAGCACTGGCGCTGAAGGATGGATGACCTGCAGTGTCTCTTGCAGGCTGTCTGTCTTTATTCTCCAGGGGGTTAATGCTCTCAGGCTAGGTTAACTTTCTAAGGAGTTAGTTCCTCTCCAAGAGGCCTGCCTCTGAGACAGACTCTCCGCGAGTCTTGGTTGTGAGCGAGCAGTAGGGAATGTCACAGACTCAAGGCTGACTTCTGAACACCCCAGCTGCCTGTTTTAGAGAGGATTCTTTTGACTTACAAGCAGTATTTACATCTAGGATGCATGTTAGGAAGGGATAAATGCTTTTTCTTCTTCTAACGAGGTCAGAGATGCGATACTAGACTAGGCATCAATTCATCTCAGCTGTAAATCACAAGATGGAATTAGGTTGCTTTCTAATGGAAAGAAATGGGGTTACACTTCACGGGACTGCAAGCCCTGGCTGTCAGCTCTAACCTTTAACAGTTATTTCCTTTCTGTGAACAGGAAGGCGTGACACAATATGGTCAATCCTTCAGGATACACTGCCTCCTGGTGGCCAGACAACCTCTCCCGAGAGGCTCAGGTGTGCATCTTGCTAACAGGATGTCTGCCAAGTTAGAATCTGGGGACAGACTCAGGGACTGTTTGGAGGATACATTGTTGCTCAGAAGAAAACCAGAGACTCTTTGAGGTTATATGCCTTCAAAGAGTCAAGAGTCAGGGCACGATGCTATATTTTGGAGCATTTAATCTCATTTAGCAAAATTCTTAGACACGTTCTGGAATTCTCAGAATAACAGTAATAATTGTTGTTACTATTCTTCTTCTTCTTATTTTAGAGGTATAAGCACATACTCTTATGGACATTTTAGGAATCAGTGCAGAGATGTGGCATATGTAACAGACAGGTGGTCTGTCTGAGTCATGAGCTTTCCTGACGCAAGAGGCGTGGTGAGAAGAACTCGAATGTATGGAGAAATGTTTTTCAGATCTCTCACTGGGACACGGTGTCAGCATGGGTACACAGGAATCAGAGTAGCCATCATTTCCCCCAGTGTCAGCATGGACATGCAGGAGTCAGCCCTCACATGGGTGGGGTTGAAACATTAAATTCTTCAACAGACTCTTGACTGATTGCTTCTGAGTTTTCAGGGGTGGGGTCTATGAGGCCGAGTTCCAAAGGTTCTGAGGCTCTGGAATTACTCTGTGAACTGTTCTCGAGAAAACTCAGTCAAAGGGCCCTAAACCCCAATGGATATTAGAAAGTAAACAGAATTACATTTAAACATATCTGTGTGTGCTGGGTACACACACATACATACCTTTTTTCCCCCTCCCTCTGCTCAATAAAACTAGCAGCAGTTACAGACCAAATGTAGCAGTCATGATTTGTGTCATTTCTAAGGATGCCAGGCATCCGCCATCTAAACAGGACTTTTGGAAAATGCCTTTTGATAAAAAGATCTCCCCCAAGCATATAACATTAAAGTGTCATGTCACACCACGGACATTGTCAGGCACAAGAGTTAAACAATTGGCATGAAGCGAAGCAAGCCACAGAGTACAATTAACTGCCGGACGCCGACTCCCCGGGGCAGGGACTGCTCACAAGTGTTTACGTCTTTCAGCTTTGGCTGTTTTGTAATAAATACCAGGCCTTCTTGGAAACCTACTGGGGTAAAAACGAGTTCTCTGAACATGCCTCTAGTTCTTTTAGCAGCTGTTGAACGTTGAGTGACGTACAAGGCACACCTCTAAGTGTTCTGTACAGCGTCTTTATTGATGTACAAAATAGCCTGTTCACCATTCAGAAACGGGATCTGCATAGTAAGACGCTCTCTGTCTCTATTTACAGAGAAGGGTTTTTGTTTTTTGTCTTTTTTTTAGTGCAAAAACATGGGTTTGTGTCCCAGCCCACCCTTGTAGCACAGTTTCTCAGCTCTGTCTCATGCTGGCCACGGCCTTCTGGCTATATCTTGGGCCTCCAACCATTAATAAACTGCATTATTTTCTTCACCTGCAGTTTGCTTAGTTTGAAATCCTCTGAGAGGATTTCTTCCGTTAACTGAACAAGCAAATTCCCATCGATCTTTTCAGTGACAAAGAAGGCTATGACGTCTTCAGACAAACCGATGAACCGTAAAGACTTGGACACTTCCTCTATAGAGAGTCCTGATAGGTCGGCAGGTGGCTGCCATGGGGAACCGTCCCCACAAGATCTGGGGGCCAGCTGGAGGTGGAGTGGAGAGGAGAAAGGGTAAGAGACGGAGAAGATGTCCTGCATGCCCTTTCTCACAAAATACTGGTCCTCGGAGAGGTCCAGCGACCCGGCTGTGGGGTCCTCCTCAGCACCATCGATTTTCAGAGGCAAAGGAGATGTTTCAGGGGTGGTTTTCTGTTCCACTGGCTTTGGGGCCCTTGGGGGTAAGGCAGGGCAAGAGATGCTCTGCTTGGTCATGCCAGCTGCAAGGGAGCTGTCCTCGGAGTTCTCCAGAGAGTAGCTGGCGGACTTGGGGCAACTGGAGACGCCACTGCTGCTGAATTCTGCAGAGGCTGCGCTGGGCGGGCTGCCTAAGAGCTCGCAGCCATCAAAATCAAAAGGGGCCGGGCAGTTTCTCTTTGGTGTGCCAGGTGGCTTCTGTCTGGGGTAGCTGTAACTCCTGCTGGCATCGAGCAGAAAGTCACTCCGGGTCTGGCTCTCTGATGCTCCCGAGTAATGGTTGGGCCACGAGAGTCGAGAGGCCAGCGCTTCGGCAGAGGGACTTCCAAATGGGGACTTGGGGTCCGCAGAGTCACTTTTCACTCGGTTGCAAGGGTAGCAGGACACGGGAGCACTGTTAGGAGGACTCGTGTCACTTTTTGTGATGCTGGTTAGAAAGCAAACACAGAAAAGGAAATTAGTAAAAAATAATTTAACCCTAGCCCTTGGGAGATAGATATAGGTGGCCAGCCTGGTCTACAGAGCAAGACCCTGTCTAAAAAAACAGCCAAACCCCAAGCCTTTCTTTATCATTATTCACAGATGTTAACTCTAAGGTGAAAGGGCAGAAGGAATATACATAATTATATATATATATATATAGTAAATATATAATCTTAAGTTCAACAAATTACCTGATGACTTTTTTTTTCCTTTAAAAGAATCTGTGTACTTGTGGACATACAGAATGATTTAAAATGGAGCAGAGGTAAAATATAATATATGCACATACATAAATATGCATATTTTAGCGAATAAGAAAGTACTGTTGGTAGGTGCTTCACATTGGTCCAACACGGAAGAGCAAAGCCTGCAGGGAGAGGGACTAAGTGGCGGCAAGTGTATCATACAAGCATGCAAGGGACGGTGATTGTGACCACATCACCACTGTCCATACCTCTGAGTTCTCCCCAGTGTCTGAGTGGGGATTTAACGTCCAGAGGACAAAAACCAACGAAACGAAAGAACAGGCCTGCAAAGACTTTCACCTTCAAGGGCACAGGCTGGGGCCGTGTTTTCACACCCCAACCCTGACAGCAGAACCAGACGATGCTGAAAGGTGGGTGGGCAGGTGGGCAGGCGGCGGCCATGTCTGAGGAGCCGCAGAGGAAATGGGCATTTTGTTTTGCAGGAGAACTTAAAAGTTTTCTAAGGGAAGCGTTTCTCTGGACGAACTACAGTTGAAAGTTACTTAGAGACAGACGTATTATAACGTGAGAGCACAGAGAGCTCTTTAGAAAACAACCGCCATTTGTGGCAGTGAAGAGGCTGTGTCTAGGAGGAGCTCAGCACTCCGGAGGGACCCAGACAGGAGCGGCTTTGCAGCCACAGCCAAGAAGGGATTCCTGCCGCACTCCGGCTCAGAGCACAAGGCCGAGGGGAGAGGTCCGGGCAGAAGGTGCTGTCTGCCTGGATCAAAGTCAAGATGAAAAGAACCAGGTCTGGCTTCTGAGACACCGCAGACGCCCACACATGGCTTCTAAGAGGAGGGGCCTGGCTTCTCACAGACCCTTGTGGTGTCTTCTCTTATCATGATGCTGGCTCTTCCATTCAGGGTCAAACCCAGCAGGGGTCCAGCTATGCTCTTCCTATACCCTTAGTTTAAGAAGGCAAACACCTTTTCCTCCCCCACCTGATGCTAGGTGATATTCTCAAGGCCCTTGAGCTGGCTGGTGAGGAGAGGGCTTGCTGTGAGTCCTGATGGGAACACTTACATGTTATGCAGCCCTGAAGAATAGTAGGACAGGGTGGGGCTGGGAGATCGAGTCTGTGGCCGAACGGGCTTGACTGTGCGAGGAGGGATGGAGGGACTTGTGGATAAAGGCTTTGAGCTTCGGGGTGGAACAGGTGGGGCGTTCAGGAGCCGGCATTCTTCCCTGACCTAGTGTGGGAAAAGAACACTCCAGGTTAGCAACAGACAGACATGACTCAGGCGTGGATTTGGAGATGGGGTGGAGGGGTGAGGGGCATTGGGGAGTACTGCTCCATCTTGCAGGGTCAGGGGGTTACTTTGATCAGTAAAGGTAGGTAGTGGGTAAGCAGGAGACACACAGAGAGAAAACTGGGCAAACTAGAAGGCACACACACACACACACACACACACACACACACACACACACACACACACACACACACACGGGATAAAACTGCTGGGAACAGAATGGTCCGAAGAAGAAAACTGTGGTGAATGTCAGTGTCTGCAGAGATGTAGCAAGACATGGGAAATCCAGCAAGCTCGAAGGATGCAAGGGTTCGTGGAACAGATGTGGGCGTCGGAGGCAACGAGGGTGGGTGCCAGTCATCAGTAAGAGGGGCGAGCCTCTTGAATCCTGCTTATTTCCCAAACGCCAACCAATTTGACCCAGGCATTTGGCAATGTGGACTTCTTTTTCTTTTTTTTTAAACAATGACTGTGTGTGTGCATACACAGACGTACATGTGCATGTGTGAGCTGTCCCATGGCACCTGGGCAGAGGGGGAGTCAGTTCTTTGCATCACCCGTGTGGCTCCTGGAGATCAAACTGAGGTCATTCGGTTGCCTTTACTCATTGAGCCTTCTGGGCCAAAATGTGGGCTTTCCTCAGGGTTGAAGCTCCACTGAGATCTATGTCTGGGGCCTCTCGGACACTGATGTGTGTGAATTCACAGTGACCTGGTTAAGATGCAGAGTTAGATTCAGAAGATCCAAGCTGGGGTCTCAGAGTTGATGGTTCCTGTCTTTTTTTATGGTGCTGAACTCAGGGCACTGTATATACTAGATAGATATTCTAGCTACTGAGCTATGACCAGCCCTTGCAAAAGTTATTTTTGAAGTCAGACATAGTGTTGCATATCTGTAATCCCAGCACTCAGAAGGCTGCAGCAGCAGGATTGTCATGAGATGAGGTTAGCCAGAGCTGTATAGTGAGATAGATTCTGACTCAAGAAAGCTCCACACTATTCTCTCTCTGTCTGTCTCTGGAAGTCTTCTATATTGACCACGCTGGCCTGGAACTTGTAACCCACCTGCTGCAGCCTTCTGGATCCTGGGATCACAGAAAGGAGTTACTGCATCTGGCCAACTCTGCATTTCCAGCAAGCTCCAGGGTAACGTGACATTATGAGTCTATGGACCACACAGTTGCAGAGGTAGTGCTCCAATTCCAGAGTAGAACTCTTATTGATAGAAAGCTACTCAGTCAGATGACCTCCTCTCATCTCCACACTGGGGATGACCCAGGTGACCCAGGATGCCTGGGGCTTCAGCAAGTGACTGTCTTTACCCAAGCTGGCTTTCTGGTGCCTGCTGCATTTCTCAATACCATTCTTATCCATGAAGCGTGAATGGGGCATGCCCTTCTCCACATCAGACAGCAGGGGGCACTTGGTGCCCGACTGTGCTAGTCCACCCTGAACCTTGAGACACTGAGCTGTCCCCACTTGCTCTCAGGCTGTGTGCCCAGCGTTTCTCTCCCCTCCTTCAACAACTTGTCTTAGGCACAATGGAAGACCAAGTGCCGCCAGCCCTGGTGATGAGAACACTGAAGATGAGAAGAACACACACTTCTCTTGTGGACTATACACTGGGCCTCCAACTGGAGTCCCAGGCCTGCTTCACTTGCTAAGGAAAATCAGCTGGAAAAGGTAGGCAGGCGATCATGAGTAGTGCCCCAAACCTTGATTTACACGAGATGGAAGGAATCCTGTTTATTTTTTTATTAACTTTTTGAGATGAATTATTTTTAATGATTTATTTATTTTTATTTTTTATGTGCATTGATCGGTGTTTTACCTGTATGTCTGTCTCTGTGTGTGAGGGTGGCAGATCCCTTGGAACTGGAGTTACAGACACAATTGAACCTAGGTCTTCTGGAAGAGTAGCCAGTGCTCCTTACCACTGAACCATCTCTCCAGCCCAGAGACAGAATTATTACGTACCCTGGTTGGTCTTGAAGTTTGTATGTAGTGGAGGATGACCTGAACCCATCTTTCTGTCTGCACCTCCCAAGTGCTAGGCTTACAGGTATACCCTCCCATACCCATTGCTGGGATTACAGGTGTACCCCACCATACCCATTTAGAGCATCATTATTGCATTTCATCATATGCCCAGGGGTTCCTGCTACTGCCCATAGAACCCTCAGCCCTGGGACTGGGTTGGGAAAAAGGGGGTTCTTCATTCAAGCAAGTCTACAAGCTAAAGTAAAATACTTGGGTAGGATATTTCCTCCTCAATGGCTTGAGCAAGTTTTAAAAAAAGGTATATTGCAGAATAGCAGCCCGGATCAAAGCTGTCTTTGCAGCAGGCACAGACCACTGCAGAAAACCACAGCTGGTCACGGTGCAGAGAACAACTGGCCATGTAGGGGTGCATCCCAAGTGATGGACAGCACAGCCCCTGCACCAAAGGCTCACGGAACATTTCAGAAGATGGGGTGGGAAGATTGTAGGAGTCACAGGACCAGGCTGTCTGCTGTGAGACTGTCTCCTAGAAAAGACTGGGAAGTCACACCATGATACCTCAGCAATATGGCCGCCCAAACAAGATCTAAACAAGGACAACCCCACAGACACGCTAACGTGGAGGGGAAATGAGGAGTCCCGCCCTCACACAAAGAACTACAGGAAGCTGAGGGTAGGGGAGTAGTCTCTCCCCAGGGAGGAATCCCTTAATTGATTATCCAATACCAAGATGCCAGCTCTGAAGTCATGTACATGCAACAGTGGATGTAATCAGTAGGCTGTACTTACATATTTACGCGCTTACATATACTTGTAACAATAGCAATTACAAAGAAAGACACCATGAATTGGAGACAAAATGGGAAGGTTGGAGGAAGAAAAGGAACGGAAGGAAACAATTATATTTTTATCTACTGGATTTAGTCATGTTTATTTTATGTGAGTGTTTGGCCTGCATGTATGTATGTGTACCACATCTGTGCTTGCACCCACAAAAGTGAGAATAGGGCATGATCCCCCCTAGAACTGGAGTTATGGATGGTTGGGAACCACCATGTAGGTCCTGGGAATTGAACCCAGGTCTCCTGGGGGAGCAGCGAGTGTTCTTCACCCCTGATCCATCTCTTCCGCCCATAATTACATTTTAACAAAAATGAATTAAAAAAATTAAAAGGTGGGCTAGGCATGGTGGTCTACATTTTTGATCGAGGATTTGGAGGCAGAGGTAGGCGGATCTCTGTGAGTTTGGTCTACAGAGCAGTTCCAGACCAACTAGGGTCACATATTGAGACCCTGTCTCAAAAAACCAAACAGCCCTTCTCAAATTAAGAGGTGGTAGCGGTGTGGTGGGTGATGGGGGAAGTCCTGTACATTTGTTAATAAAGCACTGTTGGCCAATAGGAATCTAGATAGGTGGAACTAGGAGTCCAGGAGGATTCTGGGAAGGAGAAACACAGGAGAGTTCGACATGTAACGCCATGGGGTAGGAAGCCTGGAACTATTCTCCAGTAAGAGAAATACTTAGATTAACAATTATGGGGTAATTACTTAAGTCAGAGCAAGCCAGTAAGAAACAAGCAAAGGCCAGCAGCTTCATAATTAATATAGCCTCCTGTATGTTTATTTGGGACTGATGCGGCTCTAGAACCAAGCTGGCGGGAAGGCTTCTCTCAAAGAAAAAGCTTCTCTTAACAAAATGGTGATCAGGAGTGGGGTCATGAATTTCCAGGCAGAATGACAAAAGCTTTAAAGGAATTTTAGAAACAGAAGAACAGAGAGAAGCACAGATTTTGGTAGCAGCATTTTCTCAGGTGGGCTCTGTTTTGCTATCGACAAGCCGAGATTCACGTGGCTCGCTTACTGGAGTCTTCCTGACTCGGCATAAAAAAAAAAAAATAAAACAGCATGGTTGTTTTAAGAGACTCTGCTAACGATTAAAAGGTGTGTACGTATAGCTGGAAGTGGCAGCATTTGCTGGATGTCAGCATGGACTGAGGCGGTAAGCTGGAATCATGCTTACACCCGCCATCTTGAAAAAAAATTGTCAGTTTAAAACAGCCTCGGGTTTAACAGATAAGACACGTGGCCAGAAAAACATAAAGATTTACTGTAAAGTCAGACTTGGATGAACAAAACCTCTAAAGGTTTACAGTGTGTTTAAAAATATACGTGAGATTGAGAGAGAAAATGAAACAGCAAAGTGGTATATAAATACAAAAGCCGGCATTGTGGTGGCGCATGCCGGTAGGAATTGCTCCAGAGGCAGAGGCAGGCAGATTTCCAAAGAGAAACCCTGTCTCAGAGAAAAATAAATAAAAGTAAAATAAATAAAATAATAACAGATAAATAAATAAGCCACGTAAAGATGGAAAATACAGAGAGTCTGGATACTGTACGCTATTGTGTTTTTCAGTTTTTTCATTGCTAAGGAAGGAACAAATGCTAAAGTAGACTTGATTATAAATGCTGCTGAATTAATTCAACTTCTATCTTTTGAAAATGCCTTGACTTCAAAATTTAAGTATAAGGATGTGCTACTTGGAAAAGGAGATTTTTGCTTATGTTTCTACAGAAAATGAAAAGCTGAGGATTCCTTCCAGGCTTCTGTGGTTTGACGAATCAAGACCCCCGGAAGCAGTGGACCAGGTGTTCCAACAACTGAAACAGCTAAGATGATGCAGTCTTACAGACCCTGAAAATATGGACTTATACAGGTTTCTGAGTTTTGTGATGATCCCCATGGTATAAAACTTTTCTGTGGGTATGCAGGACCCACAGAAAAGTGACTGCTGAATTCAGTCTTACAGGGTTCCTGCTTCATGGAAGAGTCTACCAGACTTTCTGCAGGACACAGAAAAATGACTGACAGACTGCCAATGCAGATGGACAGTTTGAAATTTCCTGCTTTGCTGAGAAGTGGCCTATGGGCTGAAGATGGAT